CACAGTGAGAAGGAAATGAGGTGATGGACCAAGTAGAAGATGGGTTACTCCCTGATAATTGATATAACGTAACGTGTGCCTATCTCATTATAATGGGGGTCTGCCTTACATGTGCTGGACTCTACAACATGAACTGGACTTGGCAACATGTCTGTTATAATAGGAGCACTACTTGAATTCTGATCACCAGTTTCTCTGTGCCTACTGTGGTTTCCTTGCCTCCTTAATGATCACATGTCCGTTGTGGTAGGATTGCAGTTTCCCTTTCAATTGCTTAGGCTGAGTTGTGAGTCATGTCATCCTTGATCCAGTGAAGCACATTAGGCAATGCATCGGCTGTTGTAGATCCAGTGAAGCATGATCTCTCCAAGCACATTGGAGTTGATGCTTCCTGCATGAAATTGCAGATGCAAGAGCAGGTTGTTGCTCTCCAGTATGTGCCATCAGAACTCTAGTTAGCTGATTTCTTCGCCAAGGCACATTCTAGAGCTTTGTTGTTGATCTGCCTTTAATTTTGTGTAGGGTGTTATTGGAGGTCCATTTCACAAACTTGTATAAGCAAAATGTACGTACTGATTAGTTATGGCTTGGTCTAGTAACAGAATGTTAATTATCTCGACGATGCATTTTACATCTTCTATCCTTTTCCATTGTTTGGTTTTCTTATAGTTGATTAACATGTTTAATGTAATGCAGCTTTTGTCACACCCATTCATCAAGAGGTATGAGCAAACTGGTGTGGACTTGGCAGCATATGTCAGGGGTGTTGTTAACCCAACAGAAAGATTAAAGCAAATAGCAGAGGTGAATTCTGTTGAGCATATTTCAGCTTACTGTTCTTTCTACTTCAGTTAACTATAAGGGCGCACACGTGATACGAAACATGCCCCCTATATCAAGAACTGATGCTAGACCTTAGAAGTGGGGCTGGGAGGGAGAGCTGGGGTAGAGGCTAGATGGAGGAGGTATAGTTAAGCACTCGCTTGATGGAGTTACTGCCAGCTTGCCTTCTTTGGCCTCTGCCGCCTAACCGCTGGTGGTCACCACTCACTAGGGGCGCCATTCCTATTTGTTCTGTCCGCCTTTCCTTGGGTACAAAACAGAGACAGTTTATTTTTTTGTCTTTCAGTTTTAGTTTAGTTCATTGTTTCTTTTCCCGATATATAATATAGCTAGTATACAATAGGTCGTCGACCTGGAGTCTGGGGCTGCGTTGTTGTGCACTATGGTTCCAAAGAACACTACCCCATCCCCTATCAACCCTACTTGTTGGGCCACCTTAACCGTGTCTGGCTGATCGGTTTTGCTGATAGCTATGATTGTACATTAGAAAATAGGAAGAACAAAGTGGCACAAGTGTGATCCATTTGAACGAATGCACTGCAGTATTCCTATACTTCCGTTGAACGAGTAAAATGTTACACCAGTGCTAGTCATGTATAGAATACTGGCCTGATAGGTCAGTTCAGATTATTCTAAAACTTGATAATTTCTTTGTTTGCTGCCCAGAGAAACCCTTTGGTTTTCTCTTGGAGCGGAGTGCGTCAAAAAATAAATACTAATATATAAGTCGAGAGTGTTCGAGCCCCTCTATCCCCATACTCTCTTTAACTTTCCTATTTATCCTCTCTTTCCATTTCCACTCGTCTGTTGATTCTTCAACATTAGCTGGCCTTTTCCCACAATTCAGATCTCAATTCAAACTCAAGAACGAATCATATGTATCTTCCTAGATTGATAGAACTCGCCTATTAGACCCAAACGCATCCAACGGATACTTACTATTTGATTTATTCCTTTTCTTAACACTCCTCACGATCTCTAACATAACTTATCCAAGGCCTTCACGGATATGCTCGTCTCCTGTTGTCTTGTGGACCCACACACATGATAATAATATCCAAGCTTTTGAAGTGAAAATTAATCAATTAGCTCCCTTTTACGTTTTAGAAAACCTCATTAAAAT